TAGAGATCATCCGAATGATAGTTGGATTCCTCACCATCAGTTTGGCTTCAGAAAAATCACTCTACAATTCAACAAGCAACAGAACGGTGTCTCGTATTCTTGAAGCCATGAATAGAAAGGAACACAGCGTAGCCGTATTCTTAGATGTTAGTCAGGCTTTTGATAAGGTTTGGCACTCAGGACTCCTATATAAAATCAAAACAACTTTTCCAAACTACTTCAATATCTTAAGCTCATATTGCTTAATAGAAAATTTAGAATCAAAATTAAAGATGTGACTTCGAGCATCAGAAATATAGAATGCGGGGTACACAGGGCAGTGTGCTAAGCCTGTACTTTATCTTCTTTTCACAAACGATATGCCCACAGATGATCTTTTAACCATATGCACTTACGCCGATGACATAGCAATTATTTCATGCAATTCCGATATTAGAACAGCAACTTGTCAGTTACAAAATTATTTATCTAGTCTCGAAAAATGGTTTTTTAGATTGGAATATCAAAATCAATATCGAAAAATCTCAGCACATAATTGTTTCTCTAAACATCACAACAGTCCACCTATCATCATGAACAATTCAATAATTCCACTTTGCAATTCTGTTAAATATTTAGGCATGCACATTGATTCGAAATTGACATGGAGAACGCACATTGAATATAAAAAGAAACAAATCCAACTGAAAATAAAAGATTTTTACTGGCTTTTGGGAGGAAATCTGAAATCTCTCTCGATAACAAGGTACTTTTGTATAAAACTATCATAGTGCCCATTTGGACTTATGGAATCGAACTATGGGGTTGCTCATGCAAATCTAACATAAACATCATTCAAAGGTGCCAGAATAAAATTCTGCGTATCCTTACTAATGCGCCTGGTATATTTCGATTTTTGCCTACATAAGGATTTGAAAATCTCAACAGTCAACGAATGATCAAGATTAGAAGTTCTTTTCAAAACAAATTAATCCAGCATACAAATCCTACAATTCAAGCGATTCAGAGAACGATAAGAAGATTGAGCAAGAAATGGCCTTCCGATCTGCCAAACACCTAGCCCA